TGTCTCCCCTCCCTCCTCTCCTCCTTCGCATCCTCTCCTCCCCTTCCTTCTCTTCTCCTTTCCCCCTTCCCTCTCCCCCTGCTCCTTCCTTCCTTTTCCCCTTCTCTTCTCCTCCCTCTCTATCTCCCATCCTGTTTCTTTTTTCTCCCTCTTCCTACTTCCTCCATCCCTCTTTCTCTCCCTTTTTTCTTCTTCTCCTCCTCCTCTCCCGCTCATTAATTTAATATTTTTATTTTAAAATAGGAAATGTTTTAAACATACTCAAAAGTATAGAAGGTAACTCTATACCCATACACCCGCCCCTGAGATTGTCAAATCCCCAGGTGTCCATTCTCAGTTCTCAGTGGACCCACCTGCCAGCACTTGACATGGTGACCAGTCTCTTTGTCAAACACTCTCTTCTCTAGGCTTCCAAGATTCTGCTGTGTTTTTCTCCCACTTTACTGGCCTCTTCTTAGACTTCTTTCTGCTTTCTCCTTCTTATCCCCTGACTCCCAGCCTTTGAACCTTGGGGGCCTGGGGTTGAAATGTGGGACTCCTCTCTGTCCTGTCTGCATTTGCTCCGTAGGAGAGCTCATCCAGCACATGGTGGCAGCACCATTTCCATGACAATGGCGTCCAAAGCTCAGCCTCTGCTTTGAACATGGCAGTGGTATGGGAATGAGTCTTTATACTGCCTGCTCTCTGTCGTTCAAAACTGAGCTCTAGGTAGGTCCTTCCCTCAGATTTACGCCTTCTGTAGGCTGACCCATTCCTGCAACTAAACCCCTCTCAGTGCTTGGCCAGGAACTGCCAGTGTGTCCCGGTCTTTTCCCTTGCCCTCATATCCTACCTCCAGTTCAGGGAAATCCTGTTGCTTCTACCCTCCAAGGCAGGCCACTTCTCTACTGCCTCCCACTGGTCCAAGCCATTTCTTCCTCTCTCCCTGGATTCTTGCAGAAGCCTCCTGATCATCTTCCTTCATTTCCCTTGCTCCTCATTCTCCTCCCTGCATGGGAGCTGGAGTGGTCCTATTGGGGTGGAACCAGCCCCCATTCCCTTCCCTTCCACCTGCAGAGCCCTGGGATGCCCCAGCGCCTTGTGGTTTTCTGACTTTGTCCCTTTCTTACCACCTCCCGCCAACCCCGAGTCTTGTTCACCCTCTAGCTGCAGTGGCCTTCTTGCTGTTGCTTGGCCATGCCAGGCATACTCCTGTCCCTGCCTGAAGCTTCTTCCCCTAATTTCTGCATAGCTTGCTTTCTCACCCCTTCAGGTCTTCCTCCAAAGTCACCTCCTCAGAGAGGTCCTACCTGGCCATTTCAAACCCTTCCCCTGACCTTATAAAGCCCTTTCCTACTCACTTTTTAGTACGTCAGTCTTTACTACTGCCTTATGTACTATGGATTTTTATTTGTTTAGTGTCTGTCTCCCTCACTAGAATATAAGCTCTTTGAAGGCAGAGATTTTTGTCCTATTTGTTTACTGTTGCACAATGCCTGGCTAAAACAGGTCCTCAGGACATCTTTGTTGAAGGAATGAATAAATGAATGAGTTTCATAGGAAACATTTGGGCATATTTTCTTCAGAGCATTCTCCATCTCTCCCTCTCCTCATCTCCCTTACCCCATTTCATCACCCCAGTGCATTTCATCACTGCTACCCTATCCCAGCTCCCCTACCCCATCCCATCTCCCCTTTCTATCCATCTCCCCTTCCCATCTCATCTGTCCTTCCCATCCCATCTTCCCTCTCTATCTCATCTCCCCTACTCCATTCCATCTCCCCTCTCTGTCTCATCTCCCCTCCCCGTCTCTTCTGCCCTCCCCATCTCATCTGCCCTCCCCATCTCATCTCCCCTCCCCTCCCCATCTCCCTCTCCGTCTCATCTCCCCTCCCCTCCCCATCTCATCTCATCTCCCCTCTCCATCTCATCTCCCCTCCCCGTCTCATCTCCCCTCTCTGTCTCATCTCCCCTCCTCATTTCATCTCCCCTCCTCATTTCATCTCCCCTCCCATCTCATCTCCCCTCTCCGTCTCATCTCCCCTCCCCGTCTCATCTCCCCTCTCTGTCTCATCTCCCCTCCTCATTTCATCTCCCTCCCCATCTCATCTCCCCTCCCATCTGATCTCCCTCCCCCATCTCATCTCCCCTACCTTATGTACTCTCCCCGACCTGCTCTACCCTCCCTTTGGAAGAGCTGCTGCTGAGTGTTCATAGCTCCTTCCTCCAGCCCAGTTCCTCTCTCCCTTCCTAGCAGTGATTGGCCATCCTCATGCATTTTTTTATGGTCTACAAATGCAAAAATAAATGTGATCTTTTTGTGTGAATGTATTTTTAAAAACTGTGTCAGAATACACAACATAAAATTGACCGTCTTCACCATGATAAAGCATACAGTGCAGTGGCGTTCAGCACATTCACAGTGTGAATGTGCCCACAGAACGCTTCTCACTTCATCTGTCCACAGAACGCTTTATCTTGGAAAACTGAAACTCTGTCCCCTTTAAACAACTCCCCGTTCACTCTCCCCCAGCCCTGGCAACCATCATTCTACTTTCTATGTATCTCTGTGATGTTTACTACTCTGGGTACCTCATATAAGTGCAGTTATATCGTCTTTGTTCTTATGTGGCTGGCTTATTTTACTTAGCATAATATCTTCAAGTTTCATCCATGCTGCAGCAATTGCCAAGGTTTCTTTCCATTCTAAGGCTGAATACTATTCCACTGCATGGATAGAACGCATTTTTTAAATTCATTCATCTGTCCATAGTCACTTGCATTGCTCCCCTCTTTTGGCCATTATTAATAATGCTGCTCTGAACAAGGATGTACAGCATCTCTTTGAGACCCTGGTTTCGGTTTTTTTGAGGAACCGCCGTGCTGTTTTTCACAGTGGTTGCACCATTGCACGTTCCCACCAGCAGTGCACAAGAGTTCCAGTTTTTCCATATCCTTGTCAATACATGGTATTTTTTGCTTTTTGATAGCAACCATCCTAATGAGTATGAGGTGGTGTTTCATGTATTTTAAAAACTTCAGTGGCATTGTACTTTGCATATGCAGTTTGACTTACATACTTAATATTAACTTTTTTACTGTTTGACCATGTGAATCCTGTAGATCTAGTTTATTTTACTATTTAAATAAAATTAAATTCATATTCACACATATTTTTGGATAACAGCAGTTCCCTGTGCCCCATCTCCCTCCCACGAATTCTTGAGCCACTTTGAAGCCTTCTGGCTGTGTCTTCGTTATTTCTGTTCGTGTTTCTAAATGTAAACACTGCTGTTTCTTGATTTTTCACTTTGAGACCCCAGCTATTGACCCTTAGTGAGGAAGAAAGGAACTGAGCTCTTTTCGCATTTTTTGAAGGCTACTCTTGACCATTTGTTTTCTTAAACGTAGACATTTACATAATCCCAGGAAACCAGGTTTCAGAGCTCTGATCCTGTGCATTCTGAGAACCTCAGGACTTGGCAGGTTGAATTTTCTCGTCTCTAATGAGAAGGTTATGCTTGGGATCAGGTTTGTAGAAGTTCATGGGTGTACTTTGTTTGGGTTTTTCTCTTATTAAAGACAATGAAGCTTGGTTTTCCTAATGGAACACGTCTGGGAATCCAGCTGTGTGCCAGCCATTGTGCTGTGTGCTGTGTAGGCATTACCTCCTCAGCCTTCACCACTGCCTTTGGGGTGGCCCTCTTCTTATCCCCCACTTCAGGGCGGAGGGGACTAAGGCCAGAGAGGCAAAGCCACTCTGCCAAGGCCTGTGAGCTGCAAGCAGCAGTACTCTGTGGGAGGCACTTAGTTCTGATTCCCACGCGCTGACTGCAGGTGCTCTTCTGCTTCTCGGCTTCAGTCTCTGAGTTACCTGGGTGATAGGTGAGAGCATCACCCTCATCCTGCAGTGACAGGAAGGTAGGGTACTGGCATTGCTGAGTACCTCTGTATGTCAGGCCCTGGGCCTACCCTGCCGCATTCCAAACTCTCTGGCTGTTCCGTGGCCTGCACGGTGTGTTTGGGGGCATTTGCTGGGAGAGCTGGTAGAAAGCTAAGCTCAGGGGCTCTTGCATGGTGTAGCCCTGGCTCTGGGAGTGTGAAGTTTTATACTTGATATCTTAGATCATTTTTCAGAAGTCATTGAGTATAACAGTGTTTTCTCCTGTGAGCCTCATGCCCTCATGGAAGGCCAGGGTGGGAAGGAGGGACGGTACCTTCTCTCCCCCAGCAAAAGGACAGCTGCCCCTAAGGCAGATATTTGCACTTTGACTGGTTGTAAATACAAGTGTGGCAGTTCCTTTTTGGATCTTAGTCTTATAGCAGAACCCATGAATGTAGTGGGGCCTTAGGTAGGGTCCATGGCAGGACAGATGCCAGGGTTGCAGGCGAGCCTGGGATACGGCTGTGAACGATGAGGGCACAGGACTGCCTCTTGGCTGCAGGGATGAAGCAAGTGTGAAGGGGTGGGCAGGTGACTGGCAGACACGGGAATGCTGTTTTCTTTTCTTTTGAGATGGTCTCGCTATGTCACCCAGCTTGGAGTGCAATGGTGCAGTCGTGGTTCACTGCAACCTCTGCCTCCTGGGCTCAAGCAGTTCTCCTGCCTCAGCCTCCTGAGTAGTTGGGACTACAGGCATGTACCACTACACCCAACTAATTTTTTGTAGAGACAGGGTTTCACCATGTTGCCTGGGCTGGTCTCAAACTCCTGAACACAAGCAGTCTACCCACCTTGGCCCCCCAAAATGCTGGGACTACAGGGGTGAGCTGCCGTACCCAGCCAGAATGCTGTTTTCTCAACCCCAGAAAAAATATGGGGAAACAGTCCTTCCAACTTACCAATCCCAAGCCTTTACATTTCTGCAGTGAAAAGTTTAACATCTAGATATAGATTTGGCGGTAAAATTATGGTAATCTAATTCCACCGAGACCTTTTTCTCTCTACAGAGGGGTCAAGCTGAGCCCTGGATACCAGGCCCCTGTTGTGATGCCTGGTGCTGTCTGTGTTTGCCTGCAGGTATGGAATGCTGTGGACTCCGGGTACTGCCTGCAGACCTACTCCCTGCACACAGAAGCAGTGCGGGCCGCTCGCTGGTCTCCCTGTGGCCGGCGCATCCTCAGTGGTGGCTTTGACTTCGCCCTGCATCTAACAGACCTTGAAACAGGTGAGTTTCTATTACTACCCTGAGGAGAGCTGACAGCTCTCTCATTGGGGAAGGTTCTCTGGTGGGCACGCAGCCACCAGCTGTCTGGTTGCGTGGCAGAGGGAGAGGGGCCTTGGGGTGGGCTCATGCTTGGTGACAGGGTTTCCAGACTGTTTAGAACTGTGACTCCCCACAGAGGGTAGGCCTCTGCCAGCCAACACAGAGGACCCCAAGGTTGTCTCAGCCCCAAGCCATGGGTCTGGATAAAGAGGTGGCTTTTAAATCTACTTCTGACGTGCAATTTGTGCCGAAATAGATTTAACTTTATCACTGTGTCCTTTGGTTGGAATCAGTTTAGAATTCCTGTCAATTCATTATCGTCGAAAGGCTGTGAGAAATGATTCCAGCTCATAAGGAAAGTCTTCAAACGAGTTCTGCTTTAATGCCCACACTGAAAAGGCACTTGGGGAGGATGGATTTGTGCTGGGTAAATCCTGAGGGGGCTCTTGACAAGCAGGGCGAGAAGGAGAGAGAAGTCAGTGGAAGGAACTTTCCTCATTGAGCGCTCCTGTGCAGCAGACACTGTCAGCACCCATTGCAGCCACGACCCCCACGTGAGCCCTGTCCCGGGTTTCCTGTGAGGACAGCCAGGGAGTGGTGGCTCTGGGATTCACACCTGTGCCATCTAACTCCCAGGTCTAGCTCCTTCCTCTCTTTCTTTTCTTTTCTTTTTTCTCCTCTTTTCCTTCCCTCCCTCCCTTCCTTCCTTCCTTCCTTCCTTCCTTCCTTCCTTCCTTCCTTCCTTCCTTCCTTCCTTCCTTCCCTCCTTCCCTCCCTCCTTTATTCCTTTCTTTCTTTCTCTTTCTTTCTTTTCTTTTTTCTTTCTTTCTTTCTTTCTTTCTTTCTTTCTTTCTTTCTTTCTTTCTTTCTTTCTTGTCTTTCTGTCTTTCTTTCTGTCTTTCTTTCTTGTCTTTCTCTCTCTCTCTCTCTTTCTTTCTTTCTTTCTTTCCTTTCTTTTTCTTTCTTCTCTCTTTCTTTCTTTCTTTCTTTCTTTCTTTCTTTCTTTCTTTCTTTCTTTCTTTCTTTCTTTCTTTTTTTCTTTGTCTCTCTTGTTGCTCTCTCTCTGTTTCTTTTCTTTCTTTCCTTTCCTTTTAAAGACATTCTTATCCCTTTCCATGAGCAGGATCCAGCTTCTTTTAGCACCACACTGCCTCCTCTCCAGAGCTCCTCCTCAGTTCCGTTTCTGCTGGGCTCCCCTGCCAGGAGCCCAGGGAGAGGCCAGATTTCACACCAGTCCCCAGGGCTTCCCTCGTGCCCCCAGTCCAGCATCTTGCCTGCCTGGTCCCACAGTGGTGGTGGCTCTGGGGCCTGCCTCTCCCAGGGTCTGGCAAGAAGGAGATGATAACTTGCTGGTCCAACCCCTACTGCTTATGCCCAGCATCCCCGAGCAGACACAGAGGGAAGATGCAGAAGGTAGTTTGTTTCCACCTTGAGTGTGGGTGGCCTTGCAGCTCCTTTGACTCCCATGCATGCTCAGTAGGGGAGGGGACAATACTGGTGGTCACAGGGCCCCTGCCAGGTGCCATAGGCTTTACACACAGCCTGCCCAATCCTCACTGCAGTTGCCAGCAGTGATTATTTCCGTTTTAAAGGCGAGGAGACTGAGGCTCAGAGGACTGAAGCAGCTTGCTCAGTGCCTCCCAGTGGTGCATGGCCAGCAGGGGTTTGAGGCCATGTCTGTGCAGATGCAGATCCCATGCCCTTCCCACCATGCCATGTATGTGGCGTTTTCTTCTCACGAAGCACTTCCCTGGTCTTGCTGATCTTCTGAACCCCTTGTGGAGTGGCCAGACTCAGGGAGTTTGATGCCACTTGATGATGGTGATGACTGGGCTGATGATGGAGCACTTACTACTGAGCACCCACTGTGTGCAGGGCATTCTTCCTCAGCCTCTGTACAGCATCTCATTTAGGCCCCACTTACCCTTTGAGACAGGAACCATCAGAATCGGCTGTACACACACTGGCCAGGGGCACAAACCAGCAAGTGGCAGAGCCAGGATGCACAGTCTGCCAGTCCCCAAGCCTGCTGCCTGACTGTTACATTCTGTTGTCTATGTGTACCATATGATATGCTTGGTATAAGGGATACAGAGCTGAACAAGACCCAGTGCCTACCCTGGAGAAGCTTATGTCTGCTGGGGAAGACAGAAATGCAGAGACAATCCCAAATTGCCGTGATGGAGCAAGACAGGAATTGTAAGAACATCTAGCTTGGAAATCAGACTTCCTGGAGGAAGTGAAACCAAGCTGAGCCATGAATTAGGTGGCCAGAGAATTAGGATGGAGGAGGTATGATTGATGAGGAGGAAAGTACGTTCTTGCAGATGGAACAAGGACAGAGTCGTCACAGGAACAGGATTCTATGTCGTATGCATGGAAGCCAAGGCAGGGTGTAATATGGGGCGCAGGTACCAGGGGAGATGAGTCTGAGGAGTGTAGGAGGTGAACCTCCAGCCTGTGGGTCACATGAGCATATGAGAAGTGTCCAAAGGAAAACACTGCTCACAGAGCAGAAACTGAGCTTACTCACACCGTCAGGTTACTCAAATCAAGTTCATTTGATGGCATTGATGGGTTCATATTGGCCCTTAGTCGTTATTTTCTCAATCAACAGATGTGAAACAAATGCATGCAATTGTGTGGGTGGGTGGGTCAGAGTGGGTGTGTCTTGACGGGGGTTCTGAAATTTTTTGACATTCAAAGAGGGTCCTCCTGCCTAATGAGTTGGGGACTGCCATAGCAGGTGGCAGCTCGAGGCCATTGCTGAGTTTGGAGCAGGCAAGAATCAGGGCTCGTCCGTGCTTTGGGTAGGCCTCCCTGGTAGCTCCCACTACTCCTGTGTGATATGCAGCCCCCGGTGGAGAGTTGGAGGAGCGGGAGGTAGAATACCTTGCCTGCCAGTTGGTGATAGGACTGCATTTGGACAACAGCTTGTCTGTCCCCAGGCCCAACGTGCCCCTCTAGCTATGGTGTGTTGGGTGGGTAAAGAAAAGCATGGCGCTGCCCCCAGGGCATTACCATCAAATGGGGGAGGTGATTGAGGACTCCCTCACTCCATCCCTCTGCTAGGAATGGTGCTCACCACTGGGTTCATCTCCTGAAGGCCCAGTTTCATTTACTCTGCAGTTACTTACTGTGCACCTACTGCATGTAGGACTTGGTGCTGAGGCCACAGTGGAGAGTGTGGTGGGCTCCTGGGACAGAATGATTGAGGGGTTTGGACCTCACCCTTAGGGAAGCTCCCCACACTCATACAGGGCCTGTCCTGCTCTCCTTGGCTAGCCTGGGAGCTCCATGAGAATCGGGGTCCTGTCCTGGTGTTCTTTGTGTTTCCATCCTCTGGCCAGGGCTGGCATGGAGCAGCTGCCCAGTGCCTGTTTGGGTGGGATGAGCTGAGCTGGTCCTTCCCAGGTCCTCCTACCTAGGCGGTGGAGCCCATCAGGGGCTGCCAGGGCTGGTGTGGGGCCTCCACCTCCCTCTCCCCATGTCTCCTGCCTCATCTCTGCACACTCCATCTGTAGCCCAGGTTTTGGCAGGCGCTCTCTTTAGCCATTGGGCTGGGCTCATGAAGCTCCTGTGGCTTTTGTCCTGCTTTGACTTAACTTGTCCTTTCTCTTTGCTGAGTCTGATCTCCCTTTTTACTGGATCTGCCTTTTTCCACCCTTGGTGATTTGGCTTTTTCATTTCAATCTAATTAGAGCTCCCTGCCAGGAGAAGGCAGTGCAGGGCGTTCTCACCGCAGCGCTTTGGGAATTAGTCACTTGGTACCCATTGTCGTTAATGGGAATTTGGCGCCAAGGCCATTTATCCTGGTGTCCTCAATCAATACAGTTAAAAATCTGTGGATTCTAAAATGTCAATATCTGGCCTGAAATATAGAAGGCCAGCAACATTTTATCTCATTAATTTATAGCTCTGACAGGCTGTTGGCTTATAGAACAACCATGAATCAACACTTAAAAAAAACCTGCTCACAGATTAATTATTTTTGGTGCTCCTGTTTCAGTCTGTAATCTTCCTAACAAAACTGGCATGTTAGGCTGAGGTGGCCTCAGGAAACACTGGCCGACTCCACCAGGGCCCTGAGCGTCGCCTATCTTATGATTCAGCTGTCCCACACACCAGCTCAGCTGGTCTCCTCAAAATCCCCTGAGAGCTCACTCAGTTCTAAGCGATCTTGTATTTCTTGCAGACTCCAGGCCCTGAGGCAGGTGTCCTAGCCTGACCCTGGAGCTGCAGCTGTAGAGGCGTGCAGGGCCTCTGTCCTTTCCCTTTGTTGGCTGCAAAGGAGATTCCTCTCCCTGGAGTCCTGGGGCCCTGGCCGAGCAGGGAACCCTGTCCTCCTTCCTGGCATGGGCCAGCCCTCCTGATGTGTGGCGGCTCATCTGAGCCATCTGTGCCATGCCACCTGAGCCTACCTCCTAGCTCCTGGAGGCAGAATGCGTGAGAGGGCACATGGACAAGCTGCACATATTGGCTTTTCCGCCTCCCCGAGCCAGGCCTCTTCACCTGCTTCTACCACACCGCCTGGTGCTGGGGCTGTGGAAGGGAGTAGCTGTGATAACGCATTCCGGGTGCTTTGCAGAATGCCTGGCACGTGGTAGGCCCTCAGCAAAGAGCTCCTCTTTTCCTCTTCCACCATGGCCATGAGGCCCTTGTTCCTGCTGAGTTGTCCAGATGGCCCTTGTTGCTGGGCCATTTCCCCACATGGGGCCACTTTTTGATCATCATCCAGAAGCCCCTGCTGGTCCCCTCTTTGGGCTTAAAGTTGTGCTCTTGGTCCCGTGTGTGGGTCTTGAGGGCAGACTGGAAGGAGCCTTGGGCCATCATGGGTTCTCCCAGTGTCTCCTCCACATTTCCCTTCCTCTTGGTGATGGGACAACACCTAATAGCCTTTATTAGGGCTCTCAAGTGGGTGTGGAGACCCCTAGCCTGCCTGGCCTGACCCTCTCCAGAGC